CACAAAAAGAAATCAGGATGAATGAAGATGCATATTCGTTTGACATCAACGTTCTTCCCTTTTCTTCAGTTTGATTGTATTTTTGTTAACAAACATAATAATAAAAAATTTTCATTGCGGTAAACGAAATAATAATTTGATCTAAGTTAGAGTTTTTTTCTTCTTCCCGATTTGTAAAAATTCCTTACGTGATAGGAAAAAAATTAATATTATTTTCGAAATCTGCATAGCTGAATTATGAAAAATCCTTTATCAAAAACCAAAACAACTTTTATGAAGTTTAAATTCACAGGCTTGTGTATTAATAAGAAAATGATAAAACTAGTTTTATCTTTTGGCAACTTGTTCTTCGATCGAAGTTAAGAGAAATATTTTAAACTGCAGTAAACTTCAAAAGTGTTATTAGCATGTAAATATAATCTATTAACAAAGATGTTTATTTTAAAAAGGATAGTAGAGATTTGAAATTAGGGTGAAATATAAAACTTATTCTAATACGAGTTATAATATTTAACATTTGAAAAGAAATGGAACTTGAATGACAGGGCGATCAGAAAACAATCGAGTGTTTGCTAAATAAGGATCTGATCAATTGTTTCTTTTACTTTTATTTGCCGTACGCATGCCAGCAACTTTAATGTTTCTATTTATTTTGCTATTTTGTAAACATAATTAAAACGCGATAAAAAAGTTCTCGTTAAGTTGAAAATTATAGCACCATTTTAACTGTGTCTCTAAACGGGTTCAATATGGCGAGAATAAAATACTCATCCGATCTTATTGTTTAAGTTGAACATTTTCACTTATGCTTTGTAAACATTAAGTGATATGAAGAAACTAAGAATAACTTAATCTGTCTATAAATTATAATGAGTTTGAAAGAGTTGTGTAACCCCGAGGCCGTAATACAATTAATGGCTTTGTAAAACTAAAGCAAGTGAGAACTTAGATATTTCATCATAAACTCACATTCTGTTTATCTCCCCAGCTTTGTATTCCCCTGGTTTCTGGTAGCAGAAGAGCCTTCTGTTTATCTCGCCAGCTATGTATTCTCCCGGTTCCTGGTGCCAGAAGAGATGATTGAGGAGAAGGTGGGATAGGCCATGATGAATTTGGATAATTATTCTTCAAGGGAAAATTATTTTGACTAGATGGATCAAGAGGAATTGAAATATTCTTTTCTGGTGAAACTAGTGATAGTGAAGACAAGTTTGAACACTGTTGTCCCCAGTTTCGTGGTCCCCTTTGTGGTTCTCCGGCATCTGGTAATTGTTGAGTCCAGTAGGTTCCTGAAGATCCCGTAGCTGAGGGTGTACTTCTCAATGTCGAACTTCGTTGGGAGTTTGACGTTTCATTCAAGAAACTATAAAACGAATTTAAGTTCGTACTCCTTAGAGCAGGCGTTGCAGGAAACGAAACTGCCGAGTACGCGATTTTAGAGGATTTTCTGTTATAAAATAATTAAACAAAAGAGACTAAACTTCATTATTAACATCGCTTAACAATCTGTGAGCTTCTATGGGTGCAGTATATTAGTTCATGAAGTCTAATTTAATATCAAGAATTAACTTTCAAATATTAGAAGAATTGAGCAAAAAATAATGTTTATCTCAAACCTTCATTTGTGTTTTTGACTGTTTTGATTTTCAAATCAAAGATAAATTATTTAATGTTATTTTTGAATATCTCTTTTAGCTGATATTTAAATCATCTATGTATATTGAATTTGTAAGTCTTCAAGATAAAACGGATATTAATGGGTGTGTTTCTTCCTTAAATAGGTACTTAAGATCGTAATTGCACAATTATTCAGAAAATTAAACACTTTAATGAAATTGTTAAAGCGATTTAATGACTCTTTATTTAAGAGATTTTTTATGTTAATACGGTAGCATGTCGCTGCAGATGCGAACCGTGGTGACACGGGCAACAGGGTTAACATCTATATATTTAATTCGCAGTAACCTCCCGACCATCAGACAGTGCCATTTTGCCACAGGCGAACTTAAGACTTAAGGAATTGTACAAAAAAAACATCCTTTCCAAAGAAGAATCTTCATATGGCGAGGCTATTAACATTTTCATTGCCATGTGCACTTATACGTCCTCCCAAGAACACCGCCATGGAAGTTTAGAATTGTATACATTATTTGTTTGTTGAAAGTCCGCAGACATACCGCTGTGCCACTGGGGGCGCCACCATGAAGAACGGGGAATAAAGTTTTTAGTCGTTAAAAAATCCAACCCATAATTTCCTTTTCTTGTGCAACGTAGACCCAAGAATCCCACGATATGTTGTCAAGAGTAAAATTATCATAGAACGTAATCATTATGTGATGTTTTGTAGTTAACATGTTAGTAATATGTTGACGCAGAAAGAGCTTTTCATTTTTATTCAATAAAACCAAAATCATATGCCGCTATTCTGGAAGCAATTTTCTTTCGTTTTTAAATAAAAGTATAAAGTTAAATCAACATAGCCTGCTGTCTCTTATAAAACAAAAGAAATCTGAGATTTTCACACTTTAAGCTGTAATGAAAGCTCATAACCTTTGTACCATTTGAAACTTATTTCTAGGAAGACAACTTCAAAACTTCACATAGCAACAACAATATGAAAAACTTGTCATTATATCCTTAAAACAATAAATATATATAAAAGTTTTTAACACGTAGAAGGTGCTCTAAAATACTTTCTTTTTTATCTATTTCCCCTATAACTAATTTTTAGTTATAGATAGTAGGTATAAATTACACATTTTTTACTTTCATTACCTTTTAAATATCATCTTGAAGATTTACATATTAGTTAGGAGAAATATGAAATATATTGGTACAGCTTAGTAAGAGAGAGAAAAAAACAAAAAATGTTTTAATATGTTTAGAGTTCATAACAAAATGTATTTCCAAAAAAATTTAGTAAACTGCCATCCACGTTCTTAATTCGTGGTTTTACGCTTAGCTAGAAACATGTTTTGTTTCTATATCCAAAAGCTTAAGACACATCTATAATATCACATTAATGTGATGGTTACATAAAGTGTACGTTTGTTATGAAGGAACATATCAGCATATTAAACATATACATAGATTAAATTCATTATAGTTAAACGATTTGGGGCTATACCACGTCGTTAAAGTCCATATGGCCACGTCTGACCATGTTCTATCTCATGACCATGCATCTTGACAATAGCCCTGCAGTACAGTTTCCATTTCAAAAGGTACCGTCATAAAGATGTAATGGTCAAAGCAAATCACTGCTCCTCGTAGGCTTTCCACAGTCCATCTAGCATACAAAGAAGACTGTTTCCCAGAGCCCATTTCAATAGTCTCATCGACAGAAATTCATAGACGTTGCATTTGGCAACTTGACCAGCATGTTCTCGTGTGAAATAGAATGAACACCCATTTCATTCTCGAGCTGTTTAAGGTTGGGTGGATATGTTGTGGAAGAGACTTGTGTGCACGTGTTGCTTTTTCAAACTGAGATTCTTCTTGATCGAGTTACGTATTGTTTCTTGAGACAGGCAGACGACTTTTGCCACTGACAGTTTTGTTCGTCGATTCTCATCTGTTACAATAACGCCCTCCGCACTTTGCCTACCACGAATGGAATGCGACTTGTTGCAGTCTCTTTCTGGATGGTGTTAGTGCCATAAATTGATTAACTTTCCTTTATTTTCCGAAGCCGTTAAGTACAAGTGATATTCCTGCCTTGAAAAATCTAAATCACCGATTTGAAAACATAGTTATGGTCTAAATGTATGAATATCTTGCCCCTGAAAGGGCTTTCACATATTTTTCCCAAAATCGATAGATTTTCGGTGGAATCACACACTACGAAAGCCAAACAATGTCAAAATGTCCTCTCACTGCGACTTTATGTCGGCCTGGTTTGATTTGCGTATTCAAAATCCTTTTAACACAACGTACTCAACCTTCGTATAAGCAAACGTTGGGTGTTCTACTGACAAGCCTAAGAGAGAGAGAGACTGCAACTTATGGTGTCCAACCAGGCCTTATTCCATAATTTCACCGAATAATTGAAATTTAATTGTCTTTCTTGTTATCCAGACTGACAAATCGATAATGGACTATCCAGCGACTTTGGTGAGTAACAATATGTGATGGGTGCTCAAACCATTTGATTTCTCTCTGTTGAAATTAGAATAAAGCAGAGAAATACATTTGAAACTATAGGGTGTACTAAAAGTCAGAAATTCAAAGACATGTGTTGCCACTAGGTCAGTAATAAAGCGCAAAATGTAATTATAAGTATTCATATTTCAAACAGGAAGAAAACAGTATTTTAATCCCTCAATGGTGGATTACTTATTAATATCCGACGTTTGACACAACCAGAATAACATTTACATAGTTAATTCTTAACACAATTCGTCTTTCTGTATTAGTGTTCTAGAAACTTTTTTAATCTAAAGTCTCGCCACTTTAAACAAAATATAATGGCTAGAAAGTGGTTGAGAGAATCTATAGCCTTCTTGCCATAGACTTAGCATTTTGAGTTTTCTTCAGTTTATGGGAGTGCAGACTGAAAAACGAAATCTATCTGATAAAGATAAAAGGTGGAAGAACGTAGACAGCTAATTCTAACTGAAAAGCTAGATAGGCTTGATAACTTTTCGATACAGAAATGTACAAAAGTGTGTGTATAACTAAAACCTACACTTATCTCTTTTACACACACAAACTTCCATTGGATAACGTTTTCCGTCACTAACATAGCTGGACCAATGGGAACCGATATTGCTCGAAACTGCAGCTCTCAGCTATAGTCATGATATGGTATTTGTTATCTAACATGAGAATATTTATATATATATATCTTATTACAAAACCGTCCAGTGTTATAGATTCGTCAGTTACATAGCCTTGTAAAGCTTAATATTCAAAAGCATGACAATTGCTATTGTACATTCTGACAAACTTGTTTGTGTTTGAATTTTTGTGCAAAGGTACACAAAGTACTATCTTCGCATAGCCGTCTGTAATTTTGAACTGATAGACTAGAAAGAAGGAAACTAGCCAACAGACTCCAAACCATGAACCTTCGGATTCACATTAACCACTAGGCCAAGTCCGGATTCATTCTGACAATAGCCAGTGGAAATTTACAGTTTGAAAATGGTGAATCGGCTACTGGCACCAGAAGCATAAAACTAATGTAGTCCAAACTACCTTCCTTGGTAATATAAAAACTAGAGCACAACACAGTGTTAAATGTGTTGCAAAATAACACTAATGAAAAGTTGTATTAACGTTTTATTGTGCAATACATTTTAACGTTGTGGTAAGTTTTAGTTTTTATTAACCACCTGCACAAGTGTCATTTTTAATGTTATTTAATTTTGTAGTATGAAAGAACTTATTTGATCAGACATAACTTTAGTTATATAATATTAATATTAATCATTAAACCAAGTCAGTACTAATAGTGATAATGTTTTGCGTGTTTCTTATGAAAATGAATTTTTATTCCTGACTTTTATCTCAGAAACAAACTGCCAAATCTCATGACAAGCTTAAATAACAGCAGAAAATTATGCTTTTTCATTGCAAAATCTACAACTTTCAACCTTCTGATCACAAAACGTCAGTCATAATCCAGTTATCAAGTTTCTCCAGTAATCTTGCGCACATGCACATATAATTATCTTTATACTGTTTTAAATTAGAACAATTGCTGTAGGTTTAAAGGTTTATAATGCTAAAAACCAAGTTTCTATACTCGCGGTGCCAGAACACAGCCTGCTCTTAAGTTTTATGCTTAAAGAAAGTTAATAGTCCTATCACCGGAAGTGACTTTTGGCAGTTACAAACATATCGTCATCTGTTTTACATGCTCTCAAATTAATACACTCACAAAACAATTGAAAATTACAAACTTGTTCACCAATTTGCCTGTTTGTGCATGAAAATGTTATGCAAATGGTTTTCTCAGTGGTTTTACGATATATTTAAGTTAACATAACGTCTTAATGACCCTTTTCTAATGCTGATAAATGTTTATAACGACACAGCGTGGGACTATGAATGGCTTCACGTTCTGCTTGTTAAGTGTGAAACTCACATAACTAATCGAAAATAGTCACATAATTAATCAACTACAGTTATCTGGTAAAATAACAATGTGTGATTTTCAAAATATATTTCATACCTTAGGTTATTGGAATTAGAAACTGGTGTTTTTGCACTCTGAAATGAAACAAATCAATTAAAAAGAGCCTTATTCATGACACACATGTCGATATTTCGCAAGTACGCGCAAGATGATGTAGTATGCGGTTTTTAAGTTTTCCTTTTCTTTATTTAATCTCGAGAGCTTATGGTTTCTCCATCTATCTATATATCTGTTTGATGAAAGTTACAGAGTTCCGCATACTAGAAAATCACCTATAATAAATCACAAACTACCACTTATTCTTAGTTTATTCACTCAGGCTATAGAGCAGATTCTTGTTTAGTGGTGTCTCTTTTACTATGTTCTGATAAACTAATCATTAATTTTTATTATAACCTTAGCCTCCAACTTAGTTTCGTTAATATCTGATAATACGATTGTTTTTCTAATGACACAAATTATTAACCAAATTTGTTTCAATTCTATCCATTTTTGATGAAAAGGGGTAAAACCGATTTGGTGAAAATTTGAATTACACTCCAGGTACTGTGGACTGCCTGTGAACATTATATTCTAAAATTTGTTATTATAACATGAGATCGTCTATAAAGGTTTTGTTTCTAACTAAGCGCAAAGCTACACAATGGGCTATCTGTGCTCTGCCCACTACGGGTTGTAGTTGTACTTTTCAATAATTTTAAATACTTACTCTCGATATTATGTATCTTCGACTTAATGAAAAAATAAAATGTAATACTGACACTTTCTTACTCAAAATTAGTAACACTCTTTTGATAGTTCTGGGAAAACGTGTTCACAGAAAGGCAAATATTATTTGAGAAATCTCTCTTACTAAGTAAGTTGTAGTGGGGAGGAGGAAGAAAGTTTAACGATAGGGCTTTTATGACCTAAAATACTAGCATCAGACGGCCTTATGTAATTTATAGGTAATATTATGAAAAACACGGTTTGGTTATACAACAAAATTGCTGAACAATCCATTCTCAATTTGTCAGTTGGATTTTGGAGAAAGGTCGGATTGAACACCATAAGTGGCAATCTCTCCTAGGTTTGTCAATAGGACACGGAACAATGTTTGCTTTTAAGGAGGGTTGAGTACATTATATTAAAACTATTTTCAATATACAAATCGGTAAGTCACATAACAAACAAAGCCATTATAAAGTTCCAGTGGAGTGGTATGTATCAGAACTACATTTTGGCATTATTTGTCGTTCTGTAGATAGTATGAGGTCACCGAAAATTTATCGCTTTTGGGTAAGGTTTATAACAGTCTTTTCCAACGCAAAATATTCATACACTCATATCATAATAATATATTCAAATCAGGAAGCTAGAAAGAGACCGGCAACAAGTCGTAGCCGAGGCATGATGAGCAAAGTGCAGCGTCTTGTAACAGCTGAGAATCCACGAACACAAAGATCAGTGGCAAAATCCCTCCAAATGTTGCAGGCAACAGTAACCAACATAATAAAGAAGGATCTTCTTTCTAGAAAAGTGACATAATTCACGTATTGCGGTCAAGTAGCCGGACGCAATGCATATGAATTTGTGTGTGATGACATTGTTGAAATGGAAGTCTGAAAAATGTCGTCTTCTTAACTAAATGTCTTATGGAAAGCAGCTATCATGTCCAAAGTCATACGATGAAGCATTTTTAAATGGAAACTACGCTGTTCAGTGTGACCAGGCGTGGCATTATATGCTGTATTGAGGAGGTGGTGCTCCAAATTCGTTTCAATATAATAAGGTAGAAGTATAACATTGTCGCAGTATGTTAATCCTACAACAAAAATGTTGTCAATGTGAAGAAAAACACCCGGCCATATAATGAACGTGGAGATAACAGAGGTGCAAGCCAAGTTAGAAGAAAATAACTCTGAAGCAACATTGCAATATACTGTTATTTTTATCATTAGTATTAGTATTGTTATTATTATTATCTTCATCCGCTGGAATCAAACACACGAGACAAGATAGAAGGAACAACTAGGCACAATTGTAAAAGTTGTAAAGACTGATACCGTTCACTACGGGTTGGATAAATATATCCCATGATATCAAGTAATTATTATTATTATTATTATTATTATTTTGCCTGGTAAAATACTCAACGAAAAGAATCAACCAAAACAATGAGCAAAAACACTCATTTCCTATGTAAAGTACATGGGGAACCTCAGCAGTAATTATTCTAATTAATTCTAACACTCATGGTATTTATGTTTGAATTTTTGTGACTCATGTGCCACTATGGACCCTGTGACCAAAACGTCATGGCCAAAAACTATTTAGTAAATAAACAGGTAGAAAATTATGTAAAAAAACAATGGACCCATCAATAATTCTAGGGTTAAAAGAGGAGATAGAGCTTTTAGTGTTTTTTGTTGTTGTTGTTGTTGTTGTTTTTTGCAAAATGCACTAAGTAACAAAATATTTCCTACTGGAAAAAATTCACGTGATTCGGGGTAAACTCTAGTTCTGTAAACATACATTCTTTCATATTTTTTTTAGGAAATCTTTTAAAATGCTGGCTTTCTACAGTTCAAGTAAAGTCCAAAAGTGCAAACCTCACCCAAACAATTTCTGCTACATTTGTGGAAAATATTTTACAGTTTCGCTACAGTTTTGGTAACCAAACAAACATTGAGCTCCACATGTGTGTTGTACAGTTTGCACATTTGGCTTGACACAGTGGCTGAATATGAAGAGAGCAAGTACGTCATTTACAGTTCCCATGATATGGCTTGGGCCCACAGATCATCTAACTGACTGTTATTTTTGCATGACTAATGTTTCTGGATATTCAGGCAAAACTAAACAATACATTAAATATCCAGATATTGCATCTGCAATGAAACCGGTTCCTCATGGGGATTGTCTTCCAGTGCCACATCCACCAGCGAATTGGGAAACAGAAGAGCTATCCTGCAAAGAAGTCAATGAATCATCTTCATCCTCTTCGTCTAGAAATCTATTCCTGTGACACTTCAATATAAACTACTTCATCTGATCACACAAGAAGAGCTAAATGATTTGATTCCTGACTTGTCTCTATCTAAGCAGCATGGGGAACTTCTTGGCTCTCGTTTACAGTAATGGAATTTTATTAGCTCCAGGAGCAAGAGTTACAATTTACCGAAGTCGCCATCAAAGTCTTGTTTCTCACTACAACATGCAAGATACTTTGTGTTTCTGTACAAATGTTGATGCATTAATGGAAGAATTAGGTACTGTACATCATCCTCAAGAATGGAGACTTTTTATTAACTCATCTAAAGTTAGTCTCAAAGTTGTACTTTTGCACAAAGCGTGCAGATTATACTTGAGGCAATGAAATATGATCATCATAGGTGGAACATATGTGGTGATCTAAAAGTGATTGCATTCAGGCTAGGCCTGCAGAATAAGGTGTACCAAACATTGTTGCTTTTTATGTCTCTGGGACAGCCGATATGATAAAAATCATTTCAAAAAGAAATAATAGCCAGTAAGAGAGAATTACATACCAGAGAAACTGAATATCGAGTATCAACCTTTAGTGAATCCTCAAAATGTATTTCTGCCCCAACTTCATATTAAATATGACTCATGATGAATTTTGTAAAAGGAATGAATAAAAATGGTAATGGTTTCAGATATTTGTCTGATAAGTTTCCAAAAATCAGGTAAGCAAATATGAAAAGAGGTATATTTGTTGGGTTACAGATTCGGGAAGTGCTAATGGATAATAATTTTGAAACAGTACCCAATCAGAAAGTTTGTTTGTTTGTAATTAAGCACAAAGCTACACAATGGGCTATCTGTGCTCTGCCCACCACGGGTACGAAACTCGGATTCTAGCGCTATAAGTCCGCAGACATACCGCTGTGCCACTGGGGGACCTATCAAAAAGAACTTGCTGCCTGGAAATCATTCAAATTGGTTGTCAAAAATTTCTTTTGAAACCACAGAGATGAAAACTATGCTGCGATGATTGATGATATGCTTGAGAACTACAGGGGAATAAGGTCTAAGATGTCACTAAAGATACACTTCTTACACTCCCATTTAGACTTATTTCCAAATGACCTAGGTTCAGTGAGCAATTAGCACGGTGAGCGCTTCCATGAAAACATTTCTACAATGGAACAGTGATATCAAGGACGATGAAATCCTGCAATGATGACAGATTACTCTTGGTTCTTACAGCTTGAAACTAAGAACATACACAAAAAGCACAACAAGTCAAGCAGATATTTTGTAACAAAAATTGAAAATAATACCATAATGAAAGTTTTGAACATAGCCAGAATGTATTTTCAGTATATAATCTAGTTATACTCATTGTTTTTTATCAAATTGGTATTGTTATTATGTATTGTTTTTGAACATTCTTAAATGCAATTTTCAATGTTTTTATTCATTAAAAATGCATAAATACAACATCAATAGGTTAGAAAAAATAATTTTTAATTAATGAGTTACAAGCACTGTAAAAATGTAAGTTAACGTTGCTGTTAAACATTCTGCTTATAATATTTTTTCCTAAACAGTTCATATCTTTTAAGGTGTTTAAGCCTGATGATTCTTCGATTTCATATTCGTTTGATTTATCACTTTTCAAATATTAATATATAATATAACAACTAAACGTTTAATCACAATTAACCTTTTAAAAATACCCATAATAATCGTTCTGCAGACATTGATATATCTACTTGTATATTTGTATATTTAAGGATCGCTAGTATAATATACTATCAGTTTGTATATGTTAAATTAATTACACCTACTTCCGTACGAGAAGATCAAGGCTATTACCAGCCATGAGAATAAATTCTTCTGCTTCTCTCACAGTTAGTTTGGTGGTACTACGATCTCCTATTTTTAAAATGATGTCCCCAGCTTGTAGATACTGACTTCCGATAGTTCCGTACATAACCTAATCATTGAAATAAGAAGAATCTATTAATATTCGATCATAAAACGGCTATAAAATAATTTACATTCAGGATTATTTTTATTTTATTCTTGTAATTATAATAATAAAACTAAAATATCTATATATATTTTCCTATCTGTATTACAAACACAAAATTCGTAACCAGACAATTTTCGGAAGGTAGATTCTCCTTCTTCAGGACTAGCTCCTGAAGATATAAGTCTATCTTCTGAATGCACCTGGATTACATATTCTGTAAACTATCTTGTTTTTATTATTCTACTTGATCTTTTAGTATCATAAGTGCATTTATCTATGTAAACAGTTCAAACACTGATGTTTACTTTTCCAAAAAAGAAGTGAGGAGGCGTTGTCGTATTATGAAAGTTTTCACATTTAGATGTAAAATTAAATTTATAACATGTACGCAAATTCAATATAAATCCAAATATCGTGTGGATTTTCCCAGCCTTCTCATATTGTTTTTATTTCATGTCTGGTTGGAGTTAAATACAAAGAATCATATATCCATGTATATACGTTATTGGTAAAACTATGCGCACAATTTATATGGAGGTTTTTCCTTTTAGCTCGTAGGCTTATGTTTAATGGTGGATAAGCAGAACATTAAGACGCCAGAGAAAAGTAATATGCTTAATGCCTAATAGCTAATGTATTCCGACAAATTTTTGTATTTTTGAATATAAGTGTTTTCCTGTTACGTACACATAATGAATATACTAAATAACACGTGAAACATTTCTGGCTTTTCCGATAGTTTTGGATATACATTATTCAAAAGTATACAAACACACACACATACACATACAGAAGAAAAGATGCATGTTTTTTTCCTTGGATGAGTAAAACAAAATGTATGATCCGAAAGAATTGTTTAGTTAAAGCGTAAGGTATGTTAACGAGCAATGTGCTTTGCAAGTGAACAAACCCTCTTTCCTCACAAAATGTCTTGCGTGGTGAAAGACTTAAGTTGTATAGTATAAACGTTTTGGAGAAAAGCTATTAAAGCCCTACAAATTAGGTTGTTTAGATATGTGTACTAAAATACAACGCCTCCCCCCCAGTGCCTCAGAAATAAGTAATTGGATTGACAATGCTAAAATTTAGGTTTTGATACCCGTAGTGGGCAGAACATAAATAGCCCATTGTGTAGTTTTGCGCCGAACAAAAACTAAACCAAACTAAAGACAAAACTGTCAAATCACAAGTAAAGTTGGAGAATGCTTTTATTTATCATGCTAGCTCCATTTGAGATCAAAAACCCCGGTGCACACATTATGCGGGGTCCAGGACTCGTCTTAGGGCCCTGAAAGCTCTTAGGTTCTGAATTAAATTTTATGTATTTTCCTGCTTTTCCTGAGAGTGATTTACGTAATTTTGATGCATTTTTACTGGTACAGCTTGATGTAGCTAGACCAGCTTACACTGTTAAATGAAAATCCTAGGGAAAGTTACAATTGGATTTAGTTGCTAATGATAACCAGGGTTTCTGAGAAATAAGCTGAAATTAAATCATAATTCCAGCTTTTCAAACACTAAGATTCTGTTCTGTGGCGAACGTTGACAGACAAAAAGCTTCCTGAGCAAACTCGCAATCTTGTGTGTAAGTTCTTGGGACTTTGCGTTTTGTGTTGTGTCATTATGCAGGATTGTACATTATAGTTATCACATAGCAGTCTTCTTGAAGTGCAGTAACAGAGTTGTGTTCTAATTCAGAATGATGAATTAACATAAGTGTATAAATTATCCAATATTGCATCATTTTTGACAATTTTTATCCGAGTTGTGTTTTTGGTTATCTGATATAGCAAGTTTTTCACGACTCTTAAATGACAGTACTATCAAAATGAGCATGGTGATTTGGGCTACGTGCTTTTTTATAATGATAAAAGTGATTTTTACTTTCATTTCTTATGCACTTATTAAATTCAGTATATTGCATTTTACAACACAAAATAGCATTTCAATGGAGGTTTGTAACAGAATAAGCCATTTTCGCATATTTCTACCTGTGAGTCCTTTTATTTTCTTGATATCATTCAAGTTAGAGTAATTCCAATGCCTTAAGTTAGTACTAAGTAGTTTTTACGTCTACTTTGACACAAGCAGAAAGTAAACGTGATAATGACATCGGCTGCCATGGAAACCTATTTAGCTGCTGAGCAATGATGACATATACTTGCAAATATGCATTGGTTATTAATATCAGATGGTGAATTTGTAACTACGAAAGCATGTGTGTGCGTGCGTATTTTCTTACGTATTTAAACCAGTTTGTCTGTGTATACTTAACAATGTACACGAATGTTATATAGCCATATATTTAGTCTTGGCCAAAACGTTTGCGTGCTGTTCTATATTGATGTTATTGTCTATATTCATGGAACAGTTATTAGGTAAATTCCAGAGTAGTAACAGAGAAGGTAGTGTGTGTGATTAGACAAACACGTACGAGTTGTTATTTTGATCTGTGTAAGTTGTTTTGAGCATTTGTTGGTCAAAACACATATACACACCTGTTTGGCATAAAATAATGAACTTTTGACATAAACCTTTCGAAACAGATCAACGCTTTGTTCATAAAATTTATCTGTACTTAGTGTAGATTCATGCCTCGTCACGTACCAGAAGTTTAACTGTTCGACTGTCCAGAAATGGTATGAAGCAAACGGGAATTGCCAGAACAGTAGGATACCTCCCAGTGTATTGTATCCAGAATCCTGAAACGTTGTTACAGGAAAGTCTACTGATAGATGCAAAAAACTACTGCCCTAGATGACCTTGTTTTGATCAGGTTAACACGTCAAGCTCAAAAGAAGTCTTGCAACACCTTACGACAGGAATGGCATGAACTCGTTCATTCCAGGATATCCAGAAGAACAGCGAATAAGAGACTGACCAAACAAGGGCTATCTGCAAATCGATATTAACCAGAATTCATCACTGTTACCATATTACTTGGGCAAGACCCCATGCCAACTTACAGTTAGGACGTTGGCGACATGTCAACTTTTCAAGTGATTTCTGTTTCCGGCTTGTTAAAGCTGATGGTAGGATTCGTGTTCGCTGTGTTCCTGGATAACAGATGAGGGAAGACTGTCTTTCCTACAAGGAACACACAGTATGTGATGCAGTACATGTTTGGGCAGCTATTCATGATGGTGAAAAAACTGCTCTTCTTATCTTCTAGGGAAATGTCAATGGCGCCTCCTACAGGAATCACATGGAGACGAGTTTTCTGCCATATGCTAGAGCAAGATTTGGCAATACCTTTGTGTTCCAGGATGACAGAGACACTGCCCACAGTGTGCATATTGTAAAGGATTATCTCGAACAGGAGACGTTACAAGATTGTCATGATCAACAAAGTCTCCAGAGTGTAATCACATTGAAAACTATTAGACAGTGCTAACCACGACCCTAAACCAGCTAATGAAGATGAGTTGCAGCTCTTTCTAGTGACAAGTTGGGATGATATTACGGTGGATTACATCAATAACCTCATCTACAGAATGCCACTTCGCCTTGTGGAGGTTATTAGAGTACGAGGAGAACCAATCAAGGACCAAATGTTTAATATAAACTGATATAAGGTTACAAACGCTATTTATAATAATTTGTTGTTATATTTTGTCATTATATATGTTTTGGTAAGGTTTTGTTGTGATAGATGAAATAGTGAATTATACATCTTTCGAAAGGGGGTCTCATAAAATTGTTTGCTGTTTTAATAATTCGTTCATGATCTCCACAGACATTAGCTCACTATACAAATTACATATGTAGATGTTTAACATAACAGTCATATATCAGTTTGACAGTGCATTCCATCTTAATAATAATGATCTTATTTGTTACAAAATATGCAAACATTTTGGTCAAGTCTGTCTAAGTATGTATGTGCGTAATACCAGAGTACAGCTTTTAAGCTAATAATGAATTGTGGCTTGCAATGCTGAGGTGCGATATGTTTGGAGAAAACTGCAGTGATTATTTTTTGACCTCATTGTAATATAAAACATGGCTTATGTAGTACATTTCTCGAATCTGTGTTTAGTGGGTACTTTTAAGCTTATCCTTTGACATCGGTGTTAGTGAATGTCATACTGTTATTCCATGTATAGACAAATTATGAAAATGTCAGTTTTGGAGGTCATTATTTCATGATTCTTCTTTCTTTGTTTTCCCTCATTCACTTGTAGTTCGGTTTAAAGGATTTAGAATAATATTTTAACTAATGTTTACCGTATATGTTTTCGTTTTGTTTGGTTTGAATTTCGCGCAAAACTACACGAGGGCTATCTGCAATAGCCGTTCCTAATTTAGCAGTGATATACTAGAGGAAAGGCAGCTAGTCAACATCACCCACTGTCAAATCATGGGCTGCTTTTTTACTAACAAATAGTGCGATTAGCCATCACATTATAATACCCACACGGCTGAAAGGTCGAGCATATTCGGTGACGGGCATTCGAGCCCGCGACCCTCAGATTGCGAGTCGAGCTCCTTAACCATCAAGTCATTCCAGGCCCTATATGTTGTCGTTAGTCTTTTATAGGTAGATAATAGCCAAAGAGTTATCCGCATTCCACAGAAATTAACTATCTACAAATATATATAAAACATCCGTCAGATATTTCAAATGCGATACACTGTCCTTTGAAAAGGTATCAAACAGCCTGTTAATCCTCTTGAGTAAGGAAGCACATTATGATAATATAATACGTAGTATGTTCCACCATCAATATAATTTTTCCTTATGGTTATAAATCGTTGTTTGCCTATCTATTATTGTTAAGCCTCTAACTAGTATTTTAAGGGTGATACATTGTCCCTTGTAATTAAACACTTTCGTAGGAAACAAATATAGAAAGTGTTTCAAACTTTAGAAGTTGTGACTCTGCACAATTCCTTCTGGCGTGTATTACATTATTTCTGTACATTTTAAACCCGTAGATATACCACAGTCATTCGTGTAC